GGGAGACGGAGCTGACACTGCTGACAGAGACAGAGACGGGAGACGGGAGGGGGAGGCGAGAGGCGGACGATTCAGATGAGCATTCTGTGAATACGTTTAGAAACGGTTGCGTAAACGCCAAATATAACAAAAAACACGCCAAACGCATGGCAAACGTCTGGTTGGTGTTCTGGCTAACTGTCTAAACTGGAACAAAAATGTACCGGCTGTTAGAAACTTGTACCCAAAAAAAAATGTGCAAATTCAAAACTGATCACGAATCGCGCATTTTCAATGTTTTATATTACCACTGAATCATGTAGGCATGTTCTTTTATGTTGTTTATATATCAAACTGCTGCAGGACAAACTCTCCATCTCCATTGGGATCAATCATCCCTGCAACTTCAAAGAGCCCCTCAGCTCGCACAGCGGCCTGACGCACGTCTCTGCGCAGTGACCTCGGTCTGTTGCCAGGGCGCCGGTCGCAGGCTACCGGTCGTGGTGACCCGCTGTCCTCTGCGGCTGTCATGGTTTTTCTCGTTAGCACATCTGGGGTCGAGCGTGTCGGGGCAGCTGAGACAGGGGCTGTCTGAGTCGCCGGCCTCTCAGAGAGTCACGGCCGGCGTCTTTGGAGCGTTCCGAGGCCGCCCTAGCTGTCACGACCGACAGTCTTTGGGACTGAGGCTGGTCTGTAAGGCAGACAGGCTGCTGCGGACAACACTGGCACGGACTGTGGAAATGACAGGTCTGAGGTCTCTTATTATCTGGAAACCCAGGCGGTCCTTGTTATAATGTGATAGCTCATGCTGTTTTTTTTGTGTCCTTACTGCATTAGTCGTCTTGGTGGCCGAATTATGCATATGAGCATTGGCATGTGTGAATTTAACGTTGTTCATGCACACTGTAGTCTAGAGTTCATAAAACGTTACTACACCACTCCTTACCTGTAAAGTATAAAAGTTGCTACTTGGATAATAAATCTTCGTAAATCGTATGCTCGCGAACATTGTAAAGTAAATGAATGATAAATGTCGGCAAGTCAACATAATCCTCTACTTAATGGACTCTTGTCAACTTGCGTAAGCTCCAATCTAGAATCTGGCCAAGATTTCCAAACTTACAGGAAATTAGGTTACACCGCAACCGGATGAAACTCAAACATTGCCTCATCAGACTGCGCGTCAATCTCTCGGTCAGCACGGCATTGCTAATGTAACGAGTACATCTTCCATCTGTGGCACACAGCCGCATGAGCACATATGCCATCCGGGCGTGAAAACCGTGTTCAAACTGCCGTTCCGCTCCATAGCCCGGAGCGATGGGTCCGGGATAGGGCTTGCCTTCGGCACAGAACGCTCATCCAGAGCTTTGTCGGGTCATGAGGAGTTAGCCCGTATCGTGTCGAGCCACTGTGCTGCTATACATTCGACCCGTCATATGCAACGAATGTGCCACGGTTGAGTTGACGTGCTGCATGCCGGGGTGTGCGATGAATCACTACTGCGCCGAACCACGGGATCGGGATTTAAATCGTGACATATTCCAAAGAGATTTCTTGGCGGATGCTGCGTCCACTCGTGCGCAGCCAGTCGTCTTTTCCTGAATCATCTCAATAATCTTGGACAGGGTGTCTTCAGAGAAGGCATCAATCCACATCTCATGCGTTTTTAAACGTCATTTCTGATATGTAATGGTTTAGAAGTCAGAATGTTTATGACCAAATTTATTTGTTTCTGTACTTAATAAGCCTGGTTTGTTTTCATTATTAATTTGGAGTGACATTTCCCGGAATGCAGAAATATCCAACATAAAAGTTAACGTTAATGCAATAAAATGTGGCATTTAGTAATCAAAGCCAGCCGCAGCACCAACAACACTTATGCTGTGCCTCAGCGTCAGCATTCCACTGCTCTGGCACTGCGATACCAACTGCAGTCTGTTATTTCAGTGCCGGATCGATTGAGCTGATGGCGGGGCAAGCCTCTGCAATGGGTGGATGACACGGGCAGCGAGCACGGCACCTTTGAGCCGTGGGCTGTGAACAGCGCAAACTCTGTATGCCTGCAATCAATACCATTAGCGTGCCCACAAGGCACGCTTGGATGAATGATACCAAACTAGTTAATCTGGGAAAGCATCGTATTCGCTATTGACAACGGAGTTTTAAAAGCATCGCTAAGGATGTCTAAGCTCAGTGGATTGATGCTGCGACATTTCCAGCATCACTTTTCCGAATTACAACTGCGCGCGCAGTGCGCAGCCTGCCCCGAACCGCTCCCAAGAGCACCATTAAATTAGCATCATTCAGTGATGGCGGTTCGTTTCCTATAAAGACCTGTCATCGAATGGCAGTCAGCTCGGGAAGAGCGCATTTCCTGCTCTGTCGCAGCTCGGTTCGATCGCTGCGATCCAAAGACGGCGGCGATGCTCCCAGCCCGCGGCAGACGAGCGTCCGACGCTCCACTCCGAGTCCATATTTCAAATGGAAGTGCATCTGTGCCTCTCTGAGCTCGGTGTCAATGTGCAGCCACTCAAGGAGAAGCTGAACAGTTGACGAAGAAGGCAGCAGTGAGGCGATAGTCGAATGGCTATCAGCATGTATTCGCTTGTGCCATGATCGTAAATACTATGACCAGTTTCCTATCAGTCGCGATATTTCAAATATTATTCGCATGGTGTATCGAGCGTCTTGATATCTACCAGATTTACGTAAGAAAATTTGAAATAAGGTGGCGAAGTACTAAAATGAGCAGCATGATTGAATATCGTAGAAGAATAACTGTGTGCTCACTATCTTTTAACAGTCCAAAATTAGTCTAAAATGAATGAAAATATTTCGGAAACGTTCCTTCTTCAGTTCAAAAGTTAACTGTAAATTTTTGGCTAATTTTGGATTGTTAAAAGATAGTGAGCATACGGTTATTCTACTATAAGAAAATTTGAATAGAAATTAGAAGTAATAATCAAGATTCAAGGGTCCATCTAAGTTACTCATTACCAACAACCAGCTCATTATGTTTGCCTATCCGTTTGGAAGTCAAGTTCTAATTAGATGGAAAGGGCACCGCATTAACCTGGGCCGAAATGCCACGGGCGACTGAGGACCACGGCACGTCATGGCCGTCGTGGGACGGTTTCACGTGCAGCACCTGACGGAGACAGGGCGCCATCCTCTGCCTCTCCCCCTCCCCTGCATCCCATCGCGCCGGTTCGGCCCGGTGTCCCGAATGCCAGAGCTTTAGTGCCAATACCGGCCGAGCTGTCCAGTCGACAGCGAGATTCGTCTGTGTGCGGCCGCGGCCGTCAGACGAGATCAAAGTTCTCTCAGATTGAAGTTCGATCGGGCAGCTGAATTGGCCCGGCCGGTGAGGCCGACTGAGCGGTTTTACAGGGCGCCGTTTGTGGCCCAGCGGGATGCATATTTCAGAGGCTCTCGACAGGCTGGTTTGGAGTCCAATGTTCTGTGCGGTGAAGTATTTTTCTGCGCTCGTAATGACTAACCTCAGCAAGATGGTATTTGTGCCACAACACAGAAAAAACTCACTCGAAGAAATTGCCAGAGATCTGAGGCCTGAAGCCTTATTGGAAACTGTGACGACTGAATGCAGGTAGACACTAGACAGGTTAAGACTCGGATATTTTATGAATTCAAGCGGAAAAAAACCCTAAGCCGAAACGACTTAGTATACAATGGGAAAACCTGCGTTGTGCATGGTATCAGATAAGGATACCGTTTCAATGGCATGCTAATTTTTCTAGATGTAATGCGAGCAACGATTAGCTATGAATTCTTGGAATCATGCATCATTACCACATAACCGCTCGCCTGAAGGCATGTGAATATCACTTTTATTTTAACCCTATTCCTGGCGGGGGGGGGGGGGCCTCAGGAGCCCCCCCTGAGGTTTTTTGGTTATTTCTCCCAAACGCGTTGAGCTAGGAAGCTCAAATTTTCTGACTTTTCCTAAAAGGCTTCTACGCAACATGTCTGAAAATTTTGAGTTGATCTGACCTCAGGTCAGGTCACCAGAGGCGGTTTGGTGACCCTACCTCAGAAAAGTTTGCAATCACGCCAGAGCTAGAGTTTTTGACCGATCAATTTCTTCTCTTCAGGGTTTAGTTAGGGTACCAGTATGTGCAATTTGTATATCTCGGAATTTTGATATCGGTGACCTAAGGTCAGGTCAATTTCGCGACCTCCCCATTATAAGTCAATGGGGGGAAAAATCAACTCCCTGTTTTTACCACTCAAACGGGTCGGAATGGCCACATATACCATACATGACTTCATATACGATCAACCTTCACTACCTTGAGGTCTGTTTTGCTGTTAGGCAGCTGTGAGGTCATGTGACGTCATCAAAGGTCACCAAAGGTTTTTGGCCAATAACTCCGTACAGGAACAAGATACAGACGCGTGGATGGTCTCATTGTGTTCAGCTCGTCAAGACGCATCGAATGATATACATGATGACCTCGAGGTCACGTGACCTGAGGTCAACCTTTGACCTTGACCTTTCGAGGTCAACATATATATCATTCGATGCGGATTGACGAGAGGATCACGATGATGCCCTTAGTTTGTTCCTATCTTGACTAATTCGAAAGTTATTCGAGAAAAACTCTCTCCATATCTAGCGCCGCCATTTTGACTTTTTCGACCCCTGTGACGTCATCTTTGACCTGACCTGAAAATGACCTTAATAAAAATTGTAGATCTTGGCCGTGCGTATCCGATGCCGTTTACCGTTTGTCGCTATCTTGCTTCGTTCTCGAGATCTCAGGGGGGGGGGGCCGAATCGCCCCCCCCGCCAGTTTCTTGTCCCGGCGGAGCCCGCCAGGAATAGGGTTAAGAGATTTTGTGCATTTAAATCTGGTTTATCGTAGGTTCAATGTATTTTGAGAACCTCATTTTTAATCGTTTTCAATAGCTCGTTGAAAACATGGCGTGTCTTTGCACAATGCTCCCTTCGCACCCAATGCAGTAGGTATGCTAACCACTAATAATAAACCACGGAA